CCACACCACCAGGTCCCACATTCGGCGGCTGAGGTGCAGAATCAGGCGCCTGAGGCGCAGCACTCGGCGCCCGAGGTGCCGAATCGGGCGCCTCGCTGCAGCTGCCTGCCGCTGGCTGCTGCGGGCTGCTGGCTGCTGCGGGCTGCTGGATGCTGAACCACTAGGTCCCGCATTCGGCGGCTGAGGTGCAGAATCAGGCGCCTGAGGCGCAGCATTCGGCGCCCGAGGTGCCGAATCGGGTGCCTTGCTGCAGCTGCCTGCCGCTTGCTGCTGCGGGCTGCTGGCTGCTGCGGGCTGCTGGATGCTGAACCACCAGGTCCCGCATTCGGCGGCTGATGTGCCCAATCAGGCGCCTGAGGCGCAGCATTCGGCGCCTGAGGCGCAGCATTCGGCGCCTGAGGTGCCGAATCGGGTGCCTTGCTGCCGCTGGCTGCCGCTGGCTGCTGCGGGCTGCTGGATGCTGAACCACGAGGTCCCACATTCGGCGGCTGAGGTGCAGAATCAGGCGCCTGAGGCGCAGCATTCGGCGCCTGAGGCGCAGCATTCGGCGCCTGAGGTGCCGAATCGGGCGGCTCGCTGCCGCTGGCTGCCGCTGGCTGCTGCGGGCTGCTGGCTGCTGCGGGCTGCTGGATGCTGAACCACATTCGGCGGCTGAGGTGCAGAATCAGGCGCCTGAGGCGCCGCATTCGGCGCCTGAGACGCCGCATTCGGCACCTGAGGCGCAGCATTCGGCGCCTGAGGTGCCAAATCGGGCACCTTGCTGCCGCTGCCTGACGCTGGCTGCTGCGGGCTGCAGGATGCTGAACCACGAGGTCCCACATTCGGCGCCTGAGGTGCCGAATAAGGTGCCTTGCTGCCGCTGGCTGCTGCGGGCTGCTGGCTGCTGCGGGCTGCTGGATGCGGAACCACATTCGGCGGCTGAGGTGCAGAATCAGGCGCCTGAGGCGCCGCATTCGGCGCCTGAGACGCCGCATTCGGCACCTGAGGCGCAGCATTCGGCGCCTGAGGTGCCAAATCGGGCACCTTGCTGCCGCTGCCTGACGCTGGCTGCTGCGGGCTGCAGGATGCTGAACCACGAGGTCCCACATTCGGCGCCTGAGGTGCCGAATAAGGTGCCTTGCTGCCGCTGGCTGCTGCGGGCTGCTGGCTGCTGCGGGCTGCTGGATGCGGAACCACATTCGGCGGCTAAGGTGCAGAATCAGACGCCTGAGGCGCAGCATTCGGCGCCCGAGGTGCCGAATCGGGCGCCTCGCTGCAGCTGCCTGCCGCTGGCTGCTGCGGGCTGCTGGCTGCTGAACCACCAGGTCCCACATTCGGCGGCTGAGGTGCAGAATCAGGCGCCTGAGGCGCAGCATTCGGCGCCTGAGGTGCCGAATCGGGCGCCTTGCTGCCGCTGGGTGCCGCTGGCTGCTGCGGGCTGCAGGATGCTGAACCACGAGGTCCCACATTCGGCGCCTGAGGTGCCGAATAAGGTGCCTTGCTGCCGCTGGCTGCTGCGGGCTGCTGGCTGCTGCGGGCTGCTGGATGCTGAACCACGAGGTCCCACATTCGGCGGCTGAGGTGCAGAATCAGTGGG